ACATTTCATTTCTTTCTTCCCATCCCTCCTTCTGCTTCCTTCCTTCCTTTCTTTCTTTCATTTCTACCTTCTTTTCTTTCTACCTCAACCCCACATTTCACACTTCCTTCCTTCCTTCTCACCTGTCCTCCTCCTTCTCTGCAGGTGATGAACTTCATGAACAAGCTGGCAGGAAACGAGTACGTTGGCTTCAGCAACGCCACGTGAGTTCCTCAGCAGAACCTTCTGGTCTCAGGTCAGTTCACTGCCGGCGTTAATGGACCCGCCTGGTTCTGTTTGTGACCCAGTTTCCAGTCGGAGCGCGAGTCCGGAGACAGGAACTTCGCCATTGGCTACTACCTGAAGGAGAAGAAGGTGAGGGTGGCTGGTTTGTAGGGAGTGTTGTTGTCCTGATCTGGTTCTGACCCAGTTCTCCTCCACAGTGTTTCCCTGAAGGAACCGACATGACCTCCATCCTGGACTTCTACTTCCAGGTGAGTCCCTGGTTCTGGTTGGGCCCGGTGGGAGCCGGAGCTGCTCCCTGACCTGGCTGCTCTCTGCAGCTCTGCTCCATCGAGGTGACCTGCGAGAGCGCCAGCGTCATGGCCGCCACGCTCGCCAACGGCGGCTTCTGTCCAATCACGGGTGAGCGCGTGCTGAGCCCAGAGGCGGTTCGCAACACGCTGAGCCTGATGCACTCCTGCGGCATGTATGACTTCTCCGGCCAGTTCGCCTTCCACGTCAGTATCGATCGCGAAGCTTTACCTGGTTTCCATGGAGATGGGAGCTCATTGTCGTTCTGCTCCAGGTGGGGCTGCCGGCGAAATCTGGCGTCGCCGGCGGGATTCTGCTGGTCGTTCCCAACGTGATGGGCATCATGTGCTGGTCTCCGCCACTGGACAAACTGGGAAACAGCGTGAGAGGGATCCAGTTCTGCACGGTAACTCGGTTCTGTTCGGGTTCTGGTAGTCTGGTAGACTCGGTTCTATTGGGCACCCAAAGAAAAAATGGAAATTATTGACCTCATTTGATTGCTTTTAGTTAGTCAAAATTTCTGAGATTTTTAACTTTTGAAAAAAACTTGAAAATTTCTTGAGATTAATCTCAAAATTTCTGAGTTCACTTCAACCGAACAGACCAACGTCTACAGGCGGACCAGAGTTCACTTCTTTGGTCCGATTCCATATTCAAACCTCCCCAAACGAACCAACTAAACGTTCCACCCAAACTACTGTTCTAGTTAGCTTTCATGCTAGGCTAGGTGAGCAGAACCTGCTGGATCCTGAAACCGGGTCGCTCTTCTTGCTGCAGGATCTGGTTTCTCTCTGCAACTTTCACAACTATGACAACCTGAGGCACTTCGCCAAGAAGCTGGACCCTCGCAGGGAGGGAGGAGACCAGAGGGTGGGTCAGCTGCAGCTGCTGCTGCAGAAACACTAAACACTACCAAGTATTTCAGTTTATAGGACACTGCAAATAAAACACAAGTAGCTTTTCTGTAAAATTTAGGAGCTGATTTTCCTCTGCAGCGCCTCCTGCTGGCAGACAGCAGATGATGAAGGTCTCTCTCCTCTTCCTCGTCTCTGCAGGTGAAGTCGGTGATTAACCTTCTCTTCGCTGCCTACACCGGAGACGTGTCGGCCCTGCGCCGCTTCGCTTTGTCCTCCATGGACATGGAGCAGAGGGACTACGACTCCCGGACGGCGCTGCACGTGGCGGCGGCTGAAGGTCAGGCCCAGACAGGAAGTGGAAGCGGCTGCTTCCTGCTGCTGCTGTGTGTGTGTGTGTGTGTGTGTGTTATGGAGGCTGAGGTTCTGCTGGTGTGTTCCAGGTCATGCTGAGGTGGTTCGCTTCCTGCTGGAGGCCTGTAAAGTCAACCCGGTCCCCAAGGACAGGTAGGAGCGTCTCCAGGGACGCAGAGACACTTAGGACCAGTTCATACCTCACCATGTTTATTTCCTGTCTGCTTACATCATTCCTCCTTTCCTTTGACCTTCATTTTTCCTGTCACCATATTTCCTTCTTAATTTCTTTCTCCCCTTCTTCTTCACTTCCTTTTTCCTCTCCTTACTTTGGTCTTCTTTCTTCCTTCCTTCTTATTTCTTATCATTTTGTTAATTTTTAGCCCCAAACTTTCATTCGTTCTGAAAGCGTTCTGAAAGCGTTCCAGCGCCATTTCCGTGGTGACGGTGTTTTGTGTGCAGGTGGGGCAACACGCCGATGGACGAGGCGGTGCACTTCGGCCATCACGACGTGGTGACCATCCTCAGAGACTACCACACCCAGTACAGCCCTCAGGACGCCGCTGCCACCGCCGCCGCTGACTCGCAGAGCGCCGAGAAGAACCTGGATGGCCTGCTGTGACTTCCTGAAGGCTCCTTCACTATAAAAGCTCCTCATCATGTCTGTTATCTGTTCTCCCAGTAAAATAATTGGTTTTTATTCCCTCCTTTGGGTCCAACCATGAATCAAACGTGCCGGTGCTTTTATTCTGGAAACAGGAAGTGGATTAGGCGTTCATCGTGTGACCCTGACACGGTTTTGTGTTCTGTATATAAGACGTGTAAATATGTTCAGGTGTTAAACTGTTGTCTCTGCTTTCCTGTAAAACTTCAATTATTTCCTCTCTTATTTCTCTCTACCGTTTGAACATAAAGGCGTTTGTACATATCAGAAGAGACACTGCCAGACTGAATGGACCGGTTCTGACCGAGCCGCAGTCAGGAGGCACGAATATTCAGGTGACAGGAAGTGTTACCGACTGCAACGACCTTCACCAGAACCAGTAAGACTTGCTGGGTAAAGTTCTGGCCCAAGATTTGGCTGAATCCTGAATATTCTCCCTGCTGATGCCATGTGTGAGGTGTGTGTGTGTGCGTGTGTTCGTTCCACTCAGGACGCCGAGACGCTTTCCGATGCAGAGAGCAAGAGTCCGGTTCTGTTTTTGTGCTGAAAGTTTGAAATAATCATGTTTTTTTGTTTTTGTTGTTTTTTTCTCCCAAATCCAAACTTTAAAACAAAAGGAGGATCATTTCAGAAGTCGGGTCAGAACCGGCCAGTAGTCGGGTCGTTGGTGACGGAGGAAGCACAAAACGGTGGCGGCGGCGCGGTCCGAGCTGCAGCTCTTTGGATCATGTGACGTTTTGTTTGTCGGTGCAGCTTTCTGAATGTAACGTGTTTGTTCTGGTTCTTCTTCATGTGTATTTATGCCGCTGCGCCACCAGCAGATATTTATTCACATCCAAATAAAAAACTTAACTATAAAAAAACAATCTGCATGTCTGTTTAATTATTAATAATTTTATTGGAAATTTAGGAATTAAGACCCTAAATTTATTTTTATTTTTTGTTTTCAATTTTATTAATTTTTATTTATTTTTTACTAAATTTAAAATCTAATTAGAGTGGGTTGTGTTTTAAGTAAACCTTATTTTATTTTATTTTCTCTCCATTTCCAACCAGGTGAGGCTAAATTTCAAGTTAACATTTTTTACTTTTGTATGTCATGAATTTGCAGAAAAATGAAAGTTGAACTTCTTCATTTGCAACAGAAACTAAACTAAAATATTTGGTAACATTTTGTTATTTTGCAGAGTTCAAACTAAACTGGATGGAAAAATATTTTATTTTTGTGTGTCAATGATCTTAAAAGTTCTCACCATGTGAGAATGAATAAAGAGTAAAAAGTTTCAAAGTGTAGTACAAAAAGTGGATCTGCAGATGAAGTGAAATGTGGAGTAAATGGTTCCACATCTCCTCTGTTGTTCTGAACATGCTGAGCAGTAAAATGTTGAATTCTGCTTTTTCTGCTAAGACACAGCAGCTCAGTTTGGACCTGTGGCTTCTGGATCCTGAACTTTGACCTTTTTCTCCTGGATTTGAGGTGATTCTGAAGCTATGCCTTCAGTTGTCATTGTCAACACCCCTTTTTCACCAAAATCCTCTGAAATAGAAGACAAATATATAAAAAAAAAGACTTGTGGTGGAGAGAGTGGGAATACAGGCTCCTTATCCAAAGGTTGTTGGTTTGAGTCCAGCAGGGATCTTTCTGTGTTTTGATTAAAATTGATCCAGTTCAGGACTCGAGCCTGTGGACTCTCAATCCACTTATTCCTCTGAACTACTGCTCAATACAAAAAAGAAAAATGTTTTCAGTGTAAATGTACCTTTTAAAAACTGCCAAACATAAGGAGTATGGACAGGAATGCTTCTAGTTACAATGTTTCCTACCACACTGGAAGCTCTCCTGCCAAACCCCTGCTCTTTATTTAATTAGGGGTGGTCCCAAATTTACATATTCAGTAGGCCTGAATTAATTACATAGTATCAGGTTTCTTTTTCTACAACAAAACCCTGTTCCCAGGGTCGACATGCTACAGATTTCAAAACACAGTTCTCAGTTCCTGTCTGCCTCCTTTAAGGCAGCAATAAAACTCACAGAAAAAACATGGGCTTTCACACAGTTTTTTTACTTATCGTTTGATGACAACCTCACTTCTCATCAAACGAGTCTTCTGTCTTCTGCATGAAAGGACCCAAGCACAGTTCTTTGTCTCTGGGTCATAAGCTTTGATCTTTGAGCTCTGACCTCCTGGTGCTCTTTGGCCGCAGCAGATGGTTCTTCTGCTTCCCTCTCATGGTCATAAATACCTGAATACATTCTTGTAACATTTGCTCCACAACACAAAAAAATTTAAATTCTAAACAGTCTACATGCTCAAAATATAAGAAAACAGATAAATGAATGTGATAAAAATATACATAATTTTCCTGACACTGGTTCAACGGGTTTCTGTGATGAAAGCTGAAGTTTCTCTGCAGTTTCCAGTAAAGCATCTTTTTATCTGTGTAGCTTTGAGGAACCTTTTCCTGTCAACAGAAGAAGAAGCAGCAGAGAAAAGAGCTTTGAAGTGTCTTTATGATTCAAAGCTGAACTGAAAATGATTCCCATGTTTCCATCTCAGACCATTTCTGGTTCCAGGATGAAAATGAATCAGAGAGAAAAAAGATCAACTTTCCAGTTGAATCCAGTTCAGATCAAAACTCCATGAAGCCTCTAAATGGAGCCCAGTTTGAATCGGATCTTTATTGATCCAAAGAGACAAACAATATCAGACACTAAATGACAGACATGAGAAAATAAACAGGAGGAAAATCTTGGAGGTCAGAGGTCATCATCAGGATCCAGTCAGAGTCTCTTTAGACTCAAACTGCTGCAGCTTCAACCTCTGAGGATCAGCAGGACACAGAGACCGTTCTCTACTTTACAGAGATCAGAACCTGCAGAGAGAAGAAGGAAGGAGAGATCAGATCAGTGAGTGTTTCCAGCCTCTCCAGCAGCAGTCAGTGACGCAGCACATCCACTAGATCAGGCATGTCCAAAGTCCGGCCCGGGGGCCAAATGCGGCCCGTGGTCAAATTTCATCCGGCCCGCAGCCTCTGTCATAAAATCAATAACGTTTGGCCCGCACGTAGAATTAATATATCGGGCAGCAGTAACGTTACCTGCATAGGGCGGAGCTTACACACTAAGTGCTGTTCCTCATTTTCCCACTAGAGGGCAGCAGCCCGTGTGACTCAGACCATTTGCAGCTGGAGCTCATTGAGCTGCAGAGTGACGCAGAGAGCCGCCAGCAGGTCGGCACCAGCAGTTTTCTCTCGCGAACTCTTACCGACAGGTTTCGAGAGATTCGAGCATTTGGAAAGAAAATGCTAATCTTGTTTGGGTCGACGTATTTGTGTGAGAAGACACACAAATACGTCGTGTGTGTCTTCTCGGTTATGAACTTGAATAAGAGCCGTGTGAGGACACGGCTAACGGACTCTCACTTACGAGACATCTCGTGCATCAATATCCAGCCCCGGCTCCAGACGAGTTTAACAGGGGGGACATGGACTTATTTTGGGGGGGCAAAATGAATTTACGTAGCTTAACATGGACAACACCAGTAGCCTACAAGCTACTTGTTAACAAGCTTTAGTATTGTTATTAGCTAGTCATCCTTTAGCTAACATTACCTGCATCCAACAGCTTTACTCAACTCAGCCGGTTAGTTTGGGGGAAAATCTGTGAAAAGTTCTTTGCGATTTGCTGGTTTGCTGCCATGATTCTAACAAACCTGCGTAGCTCCGCCCAGCAGTAGAAGGTCTCCTTCACTGCCGCACAAGTGTAAACCCAGCGCGAGCGTCTCAGCGTTCATGTTGCGTTTGAAGGCGGCTCGGAAAAACAGGTTACGACTTAACTGATTAAACTGTTTTAACTGCTGAAAAAGGTGACAGAGGACACGGATATGGGAAGTGTGGAAGCTACTATTGCAGGGGTGGCCAAGTCCAGTCCTCGAGAGCCACCATCCTGCAAGTTTTAGAAGTATCCTTACTCCAACAGACCGGGATCAGCTCTGCAGAGGCCTGATAATAAGCCATTCATTTGATTCAGGTGTGTTGAAGCAGGGATGCATCTGAAACTTGCAGGATGGTGGCTCTCGAGGACTGGACTTGGCCACCCCTGTTATTGTATCAAATTGATATAAGAATAACAAACTGTTGGCCATTCTAAGGTAAAAACAAAAAACAGCTTCCAGTCCAGGGGGGGCACTGCTAACTCTGGGTCCCCCGATGCCCGCCCATGCCACCGGGCCTGCCAGTACCACTGCCTTTGAGCCAGACTTGGCCTATGTGCTGCAGTCCAGATCTGAGTATCTCCCATCACTTTAATGCAGACAAGTCATTTGTCATTTACAATAAGTCTCTGAATAATTTTTGTTTGTTTTTTAAGATCAAAATAAGTCATAAATTCAGACAAGTTTTCAGTTTTCACTCCAGAATAATAAACTTTTAAAAATCTAATTAACATTTATAGTTACTACTAATATGTCATATTTCAAATGAGCCCTGCACTTGTTGATATGACTATTAGTTGCTCATTTTTCTGTTATTTTATTTAAAAATTCTGTAAATATTGAACTGCCATGGTGAGATATTTTTTTTATGTTTCAAATGTAATTTGCACTCAAGAGTACCATTACTTCTGTTTAACCGTTAGAAAAAAGTTAGTGTTAAAAAAATGAAGTTAAATGAATATTCAATTACATATTATATGCATGTTTCAAATGAACCAAAATACATGCTTAAGATCGCTGAAATTAAAATAAAAAAGCAAATGTAAAACATAGAATGGCTTGCTGAAATTTGTTGAAATATATTGCTGTTCTATATAAAGGACGTCCGCCAAGGTCGGCCCCCCTACATCTCTAATACTCCAAATCTGGCCCCCTTTGCAAAAAGTTTGGACACCCCTGCACTAGATGGTTTCCAGGCTGCAGTCAGACTGATCTCAGAGCTGTGACCAAGATGAACCTGATCAGTTGCTTCCTGTTGAGCTGAGAGAACAAGCAGATCTGAGATCAGATCTGCTGCTGCCACAGTTTGATGAATGTCTCTAGACATGTTGGACGGCTGGACGCTGGAGTCCAGCTGGACGTCCTGGAGAGATGGACACAGCAACAACACATCTTCACACCAACACAAACACAGGAACACAGCAAGCTGCTCCTCTGATTGGCTGATTGCTGTCTCTGTGTCCAATCAGGAAGCCTGAACCATTCTCCTCCCACTGAGAAGCTGCAGCTTTACTGGGAACACTGGAGCTTTGCTTTGATGCTAACTGGGTTTAGTTCAATATGCTGACAGCAGCTGGACTCACTACAAACATTTACTTACTTTAAAGTCTCTACAAGATCCTTCAGCTGCTGAACATCTGAATCCTTCAGCTTGTTGTTTCCATCCAGGTTCAGTTCTGTCAGATGGAGGCTGTTGGACTTCAGAGTTGAGGCCAGAAAATCACAGCTGATCTTTGACAACCTGCAGCCAAACAACCTGGATAAAGAATAATAGATGAGCTGAAGCCAACAGGATGCAGGTGAACCAGTCCAACAGAACCAGTTAAAGAGTCTCATGAATATTAAAGCCAACAAGCTGCTGCTTCAATAAAGACCTGCTGACTTCAGAACCAGAACCAGAACCTGGTACTGGATCATGTTGTGTTGGAGGATTTTAGTCAGTAAAATCATTAAAGGTTCTGATCAAAGTGTTGAAGCATCAATCATTGATTATTGATTTGTTCCTGTCAGATTCCGGGAATTCATTTTTCTAGACTGGGTTGAATGACCTTTGACCTGCTTGACATGAGGGGTCCGAATGTTGTCCTGTGACCTCAGGTCAGCAGGTCCAACTCAGTTACACAGAGGGACAAAATTATACTCTGGATCCAGGAACAAACTCAGAAAATATTTATTAGAACAGAAGAAATGAACTTTGATTAATGATCAATTATATATAATTATTCACTGAAATATCAATAATTATATAATTATAAACCTCAAATAGTTCAGGCTGCAGCCTTCAGTCTGTAGAAAACCACAGAGCTCCTTCACTCCAGAACCTTCCAGGTTGGTGAAGCTCAGGTTCAGTTCTGTCAGATGGGTCGGGTTGGACTTCAGAGCTGAGAACAGAGACGTCCAGCTGATCTCTGAGAATCTGCAGCTGATCAATCTGAATAAAGAATAAAAGATGAGCTGAAGCCAACAAGATGCAGTTAAAACTGAAATATGAACAAATAAATAATAAAAATGTAGAAAATTTATTTCCCTGAATGTAAAACAAACATGATGAACTGATTCAAACATCTGATCCAGTCAAACTGGTTTAAAGAGTCCAAACCAGCAGAACCAGAACATGTTACCATGATGTGTTAGAATATTTCAGTGGTTCTGGACTGGAATTAAAACGGAGTTTCAGAACCAAACTGTGACTTCACAGCATGTGATGTCACAGATTGACATCACATGCTGTAATCTGGTTCACAAGAAGGGTAGATGGGAGGGGCTTTACTGAGTAGCTAACCACAGCTGTGTCCGAATTCAGGGTCTGCATCCTTCGAAGGACTGGTCTACGTAGGACGGGTCCTTCGAAGGCCGGGAATAAACTAAGACCGGAAGAAAAATATCTGTGGATTCGGACAGGTCTAGCCTTCACCAACTGTCCCCGCCCCCACCTCAGCGTAACTCATGTTGCCAAGCAACCGTGACAGCGTGAAGCAGAGAGCGGAGAAGAAAACAACAACAACGGAGCCGAAGTTTGTTTTTCAGTCATGTATTACTGATTTCTATATTATTCTTCACCTTTTATAGTAAAGGATGTTCCATAGTAAAAAGACAATATCTTAGTTTGATTCTAAAATGTTCAAATGTGTACTGCACTTTTCAACAAGGAATACAAATTATTCATTTACAAATATAATACTCTCCACATCGAACATTACGGTTAAATAAACCTATTATGTTTGAAGGCTTAACTTTAATTAATCAATCAAACCGATGTGCTCTGCTTTGAAATACTTTGTAAACCAAACATTTTCAACCAGACCTGTCTGAATAATATCGGTGTTTAACTCCCACTCATTGGGGAAAGCTAGCGGGAGTTTTTATAACAATGTGCCAGGAGTTAGGCGTTTTCTCTCGGTGTACCGAACCTGGAGCGCCTGGCCGGCTGACAGCTGGAGGGGAGCTGGCTGTTAAAGCAGCGGTAGCAGACAGGTCCGAAAATGTCAGAGCAATATTGTAATTAGATGAT